TTATTGGAGATAATTAGATACAGTTTCAAATATATATTTAGTTAGCAAGGCCAGAAGGTAAGTTACTAATGTGTAAAGAGTCACTTGTTTAAATATATGGAACTTTTAGCTTAAAGAAAGAGAATGATAATCAACCAGTTTTAGATATGTTTTATGTATTCATAATATACCAAAACTAATATAGAGTAAAGAAGTAGGAGAGAGTTTAGCGTAATAAATTCTTGTTTTACTAGCTTTTCTTTATTCTGTTCACTACTAGTGGTTTCCACATATTGAGGAATTTTGTTTTTGCCGATTCAAACACTCATTGTAAAAAAATGACTTTAAACAAAAAGGGTGAAATTGTTAATTTTTGTTGAAAAATTCATAGGAGACCAAAGCAGTAATGTGGTTGCACCATTGATGATATATTATTATTTTTTTGTTATTTATTGGGATGGACCCAAAAGTAATATGGTGATAAATAGTTTAGAAAAATGTGTTTAACTCTTTCACTGCTTCAGGCACATACATCACCCTTTAGAGCTTTGTTATGGGAGTTTGAAATTTTGTACTACCATGAACAAAGGGTATTTCCCTGCAAACTCCTTAATTTACCAGTTTAATTTCGAACAACAAATGAAATGAAATATTAAAAGATGTCTTTTTTTTATTATTATTATGTGTTAAGAAAATGGGAGACCTGTTTATCAATAATAATGGCAGTTACAGCATGTTAAAAAAAACTGATGGTGTCTGACCTCACCAGTAATTCTAAGGTTAAGGTCCATACTGTTATCATGCTAGCATTAACTGTATGTTGACATTGTGATTTTTTTGTGCATTGACCAACATGCTGAATACTTAGAAAGGAATTGAAGCACATTATTTTAATTTGTGCAATTTTGATTTTTTTAAGAAAAATGTTTTTACAAAAGATATTAACTTTCGTTTTGAAGTTTTATGATAGCTAAATGAATTAGTATATCTCATTATACAGATGTTAATGGATCCTATGGGTGGGATTGTGATGACCAACGATGGAAATGCCATTTTGCGGGAGGTGAGTTACAAGTATTTACTAATGAAATAGTTGTCACCAATTTAATCAGCCACTTATGAACAGTGAATGCATCGATTAGCGTGTCACACAAAGTGATTAATCAAAATTAGTACTTATTTTTGATGATTTTAACAATCAGTTAATTGAAATTTTGATTATGTTGTCATAAAAATAATTAACTAATTAAAATTAGTGTTTCCAATTATTACTATTTTAGAATATTTCAACAATTGATTAACTTAAGTTACTGTCAATCGATTGTTATGAAAATAATCAAGTAATCAAAATTAAGGTTTCTTATTACTATTTTCAATTATTCCAACTATCCAAGCAATTGAAGTATCGGTACCAAATGTGTGCTCTGTCTTTGTAATGGCAAAGCTACTAACGCGCTCTGTTCCTGTCAATAATTTTGAATTGCTGACAAGAGGGAAGGCACCTGGCTGATGCACCCTCTGCTAAATTTTTTTTTTTTTTTTTGTATATAGGTACCATGGTTTGAGGAACACTTTACTGTTTGATTAATGAGGCCTATTGATTAATCAGTTAGCAAATATATTATGAATCACCCAGTTCTAGTCACTACTATATTAGTATTCAATAGTCTTGCAGGTGTGATTCAAAGTTTTACAGTTTTTGTAATTTACAGGATTTGTATTATTTATTATTTGTAGTTGGTCGTGAGATATATCTGTGGTACATTAAAATATTCAACTCTGTATATTTAATAGTTAAGTTTCATAAGAATTAACTTTCTAATCCTAGATCACTGTACAACATCCAGCAGCTCAGTCGATGATAGAAATTAGTCGTACACAGGATGAAGAAATTGGAGATGGGACAACTTCAGTGATCATTTTAGGTGTGTATCTGAAGCTGTTATTATGCTTATATGCCTTATAAATGTATATTATTTAATATTTTACATACATGTTTCAGTTTATGTGCATATTATGATTAGATATATTTACTGTGGTATACAGCAGCATCTTATTAACCCCACCTCCACCTTGTTTATGTTATACCAATTAATATAGCATAAAATCTTAGCTGATAATCCATATTTTAATAGTATACAAGTTTTAAGTTTTTAATTCTACCAGGAAATATATAAAAAAATTCTGAATTTCCTCTAGTATGACACACGTGATACGTTTTGTCTTAGCATGTCACCATCCCTATTTTATCCATCACCCCTCTAAATTAAGAAATTAGATGTAAAATACTCTATAAAATCGTTATTGGTCAAACAGACCATAATTTTTATAGCCTTCAATTTTGTTTGGTTACAGAGTAATCAAATAGAAAATCAGACCCCTCCTACCACACCCACCTGTCACATCCTCTTACTTATAACCAATAGAAAGTCAAGGTTTTCATCTATCAAATGGCATATTGTATAACGTTGTGTTTTGAACAGAGAATCATCAATTTCACTCTGAGTAGCAACATCGTTCCCGCGAGAAAGTAAACGACTAGCGTGGATGAACTTGTAATACCTCTTGTTGCACAGTTAGAAAGCCAGGAAAATTTTTAGAAATGAATTTATCTACTTTTTGCGTGTTATTAGTCTATATTCTTTGGTACATTATTTGATTAAATAAAAATTGTTAAGTGCTTTACTATAATCACTAAAAGAAATCAGGCTTAACTCTCCTCGACAATCGAGGGCAAGAAAAAAGAATATTGGGTAAGTACTTTGTTTCTTGTTTTTCATATTTATTCTTTATTTATTATTATAAAAGTGACTAAAATTAAAAGTACGGATCTTTTTAAGTTATTTGAGACCAGATTAGGTAAAATAAGTAATAATAACAATATAATTAAAATGGTTCATGAGGCATGCATGCGAGCAACTCGTGGGTAATGTAATTCGATTGCATAACGTGACCTGCACGTTCCCTGAGTGATTTACAACTTATAATGGTGTGGATAGTAGTTGGACATGGTTCAAAGGGCAATAAAACAATAAAATGTAATTAAAAATAGATGTATAATGTTATGAACTTAGAGCTACTTAGGATAAACGAATGTAGTTTCATGTTACAATTTGAAGTCATTCTAGAAAGAAAAGGTTAATTTAGGTTTATTTCAATTTTTTTTTTTTTTTTTTGGGGGGATTACCAGGTCGGTCGAATTGACCGATCCTGTTTTGAGATAGGGTAGAGAAAATAACACAAACTATAAGGATTTGGTGAAAAAAAACGTTTGAAATGTATTTAGGAGGTTTTAGAGATTACACAAAGGAAATTTGAGATGACAAAGTATTTTTAATTTTAACATGAAAATTACTTTGCACATGGACTATTCAAAACAAATACTTAATATATTCATGGACAATATTTTATTTTATTAAAAATGCTTCACTAAGAAATATGACTTTTTGTATGTGAAAGACTTGTAATATTAACTGAAAGACTGCCAAATTTCGTGAAGATATGCTCAATATATATAGTTATAAGTATAAATTTATGTTAACCTTAAATTAGTACAAAAGGTCACGTGACTTGAACAAATTGACCAACTCTGTGTTGGGAGAGTTAATCATTAATGTGAAACCCACTATATATTAAAATTTTTGCAATCATTTTGTTAGGCACCATCACATTTTTGTTTCATAAATCCCTAAGACTTGCATGTATTTCTAGTTTTGTAATGATTCAGTGTGTGTTCATGCACACGTATGAAAGCATTGTTTAACAAAAGTCTGTAGAAATTTTTTGAAGCAAAAATATGCAGAAACAATTTTTAGTGCTACCACTGAAATTGTACAAACTTGTAGATTTTTTTTTTTAATGGGAATGAAGCTATAGCATAAATCAAGCATAGATCCCCAGCCAGAAACATCAGTCAGTGAAATAAAGTATTAAAGGGAATATGTTAATTAATATCAATTAAGTTGAAACTGATATCTGTAAAATGGACATCCTGATCAACAATAAAAAGAATTGAAATTCTTAGGCAAAATGAAGCTTCTTAATTGTCTTTCGAAACAGTGCCTCTCAAGAAGATAGAGATTTCACAGTTTTAAAAAATAATAGAAAAAATAAATAAAATTGTGATTTTTATAAGTTGAAATAAAATAATATTTAGCAAGTTTTACTAAGTTTTATGCAATTTCTGTATTTTCTCTAGAAGAA